TTTGACTGTCTGTACTTCTATTATAAAAATTGAAAATGATAATGCTTAGCATACATCTGATATATTTGCTCTGGATTTGTGGTAATCTCTTTATGCTATGCTATTGTTTTCAATTTTCTCAACTGTATTTTTTGGAGACTATCCATATCATAAGCAGCCAATAAAAAAGTCTTGCTGATTTCATTCTTTGAGAACCTCTCTTCCCATTATTCACTATTATCACTGTCCTTCTATTAATATTCAGACACTTGGATTTTATCACTTAGAATTTCTATCCTTCAGTAAAACTTCCATGGGAAAGACTGATGACTTCATTGATCATTTCACAAAATATTAATAGAAATTGGTATTCATTTCCTGTTCACTCTTTGCCAAATATTGTATTAATAGTATGAGGGAGACTTATTGATCATAACCATATGGATTATATGGGTTATATTACCATAAGCTGAAAAACAGATTCACAAAGAAAAGAGCTAACCAGTTTTCCAAGTTAACTATCTAGGAAATGCCAATATGACACTCAGATCAAGAAAATCTATTCACAGAATTTTGACATAGAAGACATAGTTCCAATAGTATCATGATGCATAATACCTGTAGACTAAGGTTGTCTATGAAACTTGGAATAGTATAACAATTCTTGAACTCAATAAGAATTTCAAGGTTTAAGAGAGTTCTTATAACAGCTGAAGTATACTGAATATCTAAATTCAGTATCAAGATTGCTAATGGTTAGGGACCATTTTGCAAGGAGCATCTCCAAGTGTCAACAGGTGTCATGCTTGGCACCTGAGGAAAATGTATGGATTTTCCAGAAAGGCCATTCTCTGCCTACAGTGTGAACCTCAAACTTCATGTGCCAAAATGGATGCTTCCCCCTTATATTTGTGTTACATTAGAAGACCATGGAAAGGTTTTTTTAAAATCAAGACTATGTTTAAGTAAGTTTTGTCTTAGACTCTTCTGTGGAAAACCATTTTGTTCTTATTGTTCTAAAAGCAAAACTGACTTTTGTTTTTTCCATTTCTTTTCCACAATCACTATTTATTTAACATCTTATAAAACAAAGCATCAGAAAACCAAGTTTAACTATTTTTTCTGAAATTTAATATTTCAAAGATGTTTTTAAAGCCAGTCATTTATCTTACCAAGAAACAGATTAATAATAATGTTAATATGTTTTATCTAAAGTCATATCTACAGAAAAGTAATAATATGAATTTATATTATTTATTCATATTATGTGAATATATATGTATATATATATGTATATATATATATATACATCCTTCTTTTATTTATCTTTTTTCTATTGCTTTCTACATGTGACTCAAAGAAGTCACAGTGCCTCAAGAAAGTTTCAGTGATACCTGATTGAGTTTTTAAGGAAACTAGCCATATACCCTGAAGAACTGTCAGAAAAGTTGAGATTTTAAAAAAATTCTTATGAGTTAAGAATAGTGCTCAGTGTTTAATTCAAAATATCATTTTAATCTTCAGTTTTTATAGAGAACTTGATGCATGGAGTTTAAGAAATTGCCTAAATTAATGCAGCTAGCAGCAACTATTACAGACAAAGAGAGCAAAGGATACTTTTGTAAACACATATTGACAGATGCTTTTATATATTGATAGATGATGGACAAAAATATGCACTATTTAGAATGCTTTTTAGCTAGCATAATTCACGTGGGTTTTATTGAAAGCAAAGTAACATTTTCAAATGTAACATATTGAAAGCAAATGTAACATTGCTTCCCCATGTTTCATTTTAATATATGAACTGTACAGATGCATTTATTTATTTCATTGTGTGATTAAGTATTAATCATAAATACAAACATGTGTTTTGCAGAGTTCCAGGTTTCTGTTCATAAGAGGTTATTAAACAGAGGAAAAAGAAAGATACATGTATACTTTAGGGAAATATTATTAAAAATAAATATATCATAGGGAAATGGAGATATTCATCTGTAAATAACAATATACCATCAGAAGAAACCTTTTATTTTTAAGAGGTATGCAGAAACCATCAATACATTGTAGTGAAAGACTCCCCGCTGGGCGTCTTCCCTCGGGAGAGACCCCAAGCCCAAAGACCAGTCAAAGCACGCAGCCGGATGCAAGCAGCAAGAGGTTTATTTGGGGTACACAGGTACCTGCGGGCGACAAAGCCTCTCGGGGACTTTGCGCGCCGCAGGTTGGGGGTGAGGGGTTTTTATAGGGGAGCAAAAAGCAAGGTTTACAGAAGCGAGATGCAGGGTGGTAAATTGTTAACCTAGATAACATTGAGGGGACTGCTTGGCGGTTTATTGTTCCTCTCATCCTGCCTTCCCCTTTTCTGGCTGGCGACTAGATGTCTGATAGCATAGCCCCTGATCCGTGATGAGCCCCGCTTTCTACGTGACTCAGGCCTCGCAATCTTCTCTTTCTTTGTTCCTATGACCTATCCATAAATCTTATGTCTCGCAGCCAGATGAGGCTATCTTTGCTCAGGTGTCTTTGCTCAGCATTGTGGAGGTCCTGAATTAGGCCTGTTATTTGTTCAGCACTCTGGAGGTCCTGACTCCGGAGGCCTTAATGGAGCTTGCTATCTGAAAACCTTTGCAGAGCGTTATAACTGTGGTTAAGGTTAAAAACCAGTTTTAACTGTGACCCCAATGAAGTTGGGGTCCTTCAGTAGGTACACAGGTTCCCCATTTTTCCGAGGCGCTATGCAGGGCTGTTCTACTTCCTGGTTCCACTGCATCAGCTTGAGGGTGTAGCATAGAACTACCCTCTCTTGTGATGTTAATTTCACCTACGGCCCAAGGGTGTAGCTTAGAGAGAACTCTCCCTTTACTGTTATGGTAATTCCACCTGCAAGCAAGGTTCTCGCAGCAGGCAAGGTTCCCGGGTCAGCTTTTCTCTGAGCCTGAGCACGCCCACCTGGCTTCCTCTTTTCTCTGTTCAGCTGCTCTCCGACCTTGGGTGTGGATCCCTGACTTCTCCTTTTCCTTGATCCTGGTGGGGGCTGGTGTCCTTTTGCCCCACAGTATGTATATCCGACTGATGCTTAATAAAGCTGCCATTTGCCACTTGCTCCTTGGCAGATGAGCCCGGTCTCTTTGTGTGTGTGTCATGTGTTCAAACCCCTAGGACATGCGTCCATTCTCGTGGGCTCGAGTCAGGAAAAGCGCGCTCCTGTTTCGAGGTTCGGGTGTCCACAGAAAAGTGCGGAAGCTTACAATACATTGCTAGTGTCATGCCAATATTCTCAAATTGAGTATTTCCTGATTTATACATTGTGCTTATTTTGGGTAGTTTAGTCTCCTTGCTGAAATGTTTAACACTAAACTCTTGATAAGCTTAAAACAAAGACTACTTAGAATCAGTCTTTGTTTAAGAAAGGTGTACAGTGAGAACGATGGGTCCATATAAAGTAATGACAACAGAAAGGGCTGCAAAGAAATGTTATTCAGTGAGGCATAAAGCAAAGCTATTTCATCACTCCTGACTAGAGGGCAGAAATGTAAGAATTCAAATGAGGTTTCTTTGGGGTTAGAGATTTTAACAATAGGGGCTGATGATCAAAGCAGGACAAAAGTATTCTGTCATGATTTTTCATCACCAGACCAATTTGAACTTCCATTTTTTCATGAAATTCTCCATTAAAAGCATGTGTTTCATTTTCACCTTCCCTAACAACTATTGTGATTTTCAAGTGGTGAAAGACACACTGAAAAGCATTGATGAGTGAAAGAGAATTGGTAACCACATTGTCCAGTAGATAATAGGAATACTCTAGAATTGTGAACAAAGTGATAAAAATAGTTGATCTGAGTATTTTGAAGACTATCCCCATTACATGAGAATGGTCAGTTAGCATACAAGCTGCAGAGTAAGACTTTTCTCCTAATAAAATATGACACAATACTAGTTTTCAGCTTTTTAATGCATCTACCACAATGCTGAAATTTTTTCCATAGGATATTTGTATATAAGAGTAAATGGTTATTTAACACATCAGACAAAATACAACACTATTTATTCTTAGTACTAACAATCTGGGAATTGCATATGCTTTTGCTTACCCACATTATATTATTATTGGAACATACAGCATCACTAAGTCAATATCTCACCAGAGGGTAAGTATTACCTTCTTATTGATCTGCCTTAGAACTTCTCTGTAAGACACAGAAACTGGGAATGTGAGTGAGAAATTGAAAGCCCAGCATGCAGAGGTTGTGAAGAATACAGAGAGAACCTCAGAAGGGGGAAGGAGAAACATAAAATAGAGTAGATTTAAAAGAAATAGTACATAATGGGTAGAAAGAATAAGAACTGCAAATCTCTAGTTTAGAGGAATTTTCAAAATCAATATGAGTTTCTCTTTCATGGATGAACAGAATATTCATCATAACTTACTGTAGGGGTTTGGAAGAAAATGGCCCCTATCAGGAGTGGCACTATTAGGAGTTGCGGCATTTTTGGAATAGGTATGGCATTGTTGGAGGAATTTTGTCACTGTGGGGATGAGCTTTGAGGTCTCCTTTGTTCAGGCTGCATTCAGTGTGACACACAGTTGTTCTTGTTGCCCGTGAAACAAGATGTGCCTTCTCAAGCACTATGTATGCCTACATGACATCCTCAATGATAATAATGGACTAAACCTCTGAAACTGTAAGCAGGCCCCAATTAATTTTTTTCCCTTTATAAGAGTTGTTGAGGTCATGGTGTCCCTTCACAACAATAGAAGTCCTAACTAAGACACTTGGACCATTTAATAAAAGATGGGAGGCTCATTATTCATCAGTTAGCTGAATATATGACATCACAAAATAGCTTCATGAGTGTTCCAGCTAAATCCATATGGAAAAAAAGTTATTATTTTTTGGGGAAGTGACAAACTAGGACTGTTAGTATGATGCTAGGGAACTAGAAATGTCATTGATGCAGTCCTTTTCAATTTAAACTAAATTGACACTAGTTAAAATACTTAAATGTGTACTTACCCAACAGACAGGAATGGCTCCTTTGATTCAAGCCTATAAAATAGGAAAACTTTATTTTAATATAATAGTTATACATTCAAACTTTGATTTTATATGGATGTGGTAAAATATTGTACTGCTTGGATGGAAATGTGTTTACAGCAGAAAATTATATGCCTAAACACACACATATATGCCTAATATATATTATATAGTATATGTTATAATATGTGCTATATATTATATGTTATATATACAAATATGCATATGTGTGCATGTATATGCCTATTATAGCAAAGCTACCTGTTATTATTCTAGGTGGATTTGACGCAGTTAAGTAAACTCAAAGCCTCAGAGTGGGAATGAAGCTTTTATAGGCAGTATTACAGTGAGAGTTAGAATCTAATTCTTAGGTGTACTCCATATCCAGTTATGTTAATAGTGACTGTTTGATTCTAGATGTTTTAATATATCTATGTGGAGTAGTAATAATGGAGATGTCTGTAGCGCATTTTCTTGGATATTTGCTGAGTGATTGATCTTCAGGGGATATACTCTGTAGTGACAAGGGAGGAGAAGTGTCACACTCAATCATTTGCTGTGAGTAAGACTCTGGGGGAAGGAGTAGTGATATGTGATATAGATTAGGGTGATATAGATTAGGGTCCTTTCTCCCAGTATCTAGGTGTTTCCTGTTTCTGCAAAAAATCCAAATGTGGTATCTAATATGGACAGGATGTTTGGATGTGACATCTCCAGAAATCCACTTTAAAGGCCTTTGCATCTCACTCTTCTAACTATAAAAATGTACAGAACTGATTCCAGCTAATTTTCTTATTCCACATGACATCTCCACATTCTTTATAACAAGTCAGTTTTTAGGCATTTCGGAAGCAACACTCAAGTAGATTTAAGACAGGTATGTATTTTTCTTGTATATTTCTTACACAACTATGGGCCAAATTAGGCCAATATTGGTATGTTTTAACTAAATATAGACATTTCATGTTTAGATGCTTGAAAGCTAGTAAATAATCACTGGTGTCATTACTCAGGAGCCTTACATTTCCTTCAATCCTTCCATTCTTTTTTTTCTTTCTTTCTTTTTCTCTTTTTCTTTTCTTTTCTTTTTTTAAGACAAGTTCCATTATTGGCAGAGAACTCAATGAGCAGACTAGATTGACAGGCCAACAAACTTCAGGATCTTTTTTGTGCACAGGAACACTCTAAAGAGCTGGAGCAAAGACTATGTGTTCAGAGGTTTTGTAGCATTTTCTTCAGGTATTTTATAGAAAAATATTTCTATGTATACTTTTTATTTACTCATGCTATGCAATTATCTTTCTAGAAGGTAATGGAAACAAGTTTTCAAAGAAATATGCATGCTACTTTGAATATATAGCAAGAGTTCTCCATGATTTATAAATTTATAGTAATTTGAATTTCTTTTTTATATTATCATTTTAGCTTCTGTCCTAGTGACAACTTCTTCCAAGCTACTACTTTCACATCACCAAATCTCTTAAAGTTTTTCATGACCACTGAATGATAAGGGAATCTTCCAGTGCTTCTCCAGCTTGCACCCACCTTGCCTCGGTGTCATCTTCCTCCCCAACCCTCTTCCTACAAAGCAATATACCCAAGATTAGAAGTTCACTTGTGGCTCAGACAAGCACACTTCATGTTTTCTTTGGTGTCTTTTATATTCTATTTTTGTAGTAAAATTCATTTACAATCTCTTCCCTGATCAATAATGAGTAAAACTTATCTCAACCTAACTTATTTTAGCATTTAAATTTCTTTGTTTGTAATACCAACAGTAATCACTGGCACACAGTCTTGGGAAAATTGTAATATATAAAAAGCAAACTTGGAGTTTCATTAATCTGGTGAAAATACTAATGGAGATTTCAGCTGAGAGGTGCTGTAGGAAAATCCTACAGCTAGTAGCCTTCAAGTTACCCGCCCACTGGGGCATGGCCTTTTATACTATTTATGCCAATGTAAAGCATGCCTCTGCCCTCTTTTCCAGCAGCGGGATTCAGATTCTACTCTCTGTTCCAGCAGAGAAATTTGATTTGTGAGTTTACCCCTAAATATATAATCATCTATTATTCTCAATTCTGAGCTAGTGTGGGATTTCTTTTAAGCATCCTTCTTCATCTGGCAACCAATGTGGGACACAGACATTTTAACTCATATATATACATATGTGTGTGTGTGTGTGTGTGTGTGTGTGTGTGTGTGTGTGTATGTGTGTGTGTATGAATATACAGAGTTGGTTTTGGAGTTGGCAGTGGCTCTGCCCTTCTCTCCATCCAAGCATGTTGTTAAGAGAAAAATTCAGAGTTTCTATCTCATGTCAAGAGCCATCTTGTATGGGACAGAAAAAAAAGAATTTAGAAAAAAATTACTTTTCTTTATATCTATTTTTGCCTCTATAATACCTTTCATTGAATATATATGTCTGTATATCTATATATAAATAATGTTTAAGTTCAACAATGAACAACGAATTTTCCTGCAGTAATCTTTGAAGTTTCCAGGAGGAAGATGGTGCCCCACAACAACAATTCCACCTGGTTGATATGACGTCATGTTGCTGATAGTGCTACTATAAGATCTGTTTTTTGGTACCAGCTGCTCAAGATGGTTCCAACTTCATGCAATTTTTTTCTTACAACGTTCTGGTCAGAACTCCAAATAAGAACCTCAGAAATACTTTACCAAATACTCAGAGACTATTTGCAATTATACAAGACAGTAATCTTGAAACTTAACTTTCATTTTTCTTTCTCAGGATCTTTTAGAAAAAGAATCACCCCCATGACAGCTGTAAGTGCTACGGACCGGCTCAAGGGAGCCACTCAGACCGTAAGGGAATCAGGGCGAAGGCACAGGAGAAATCAGGATACAGCGAGGAAAAGTGGCACACAGACACTCTCAATGTTTTTGAGACATGCTGTTGCTATTTACTTACTTCAATGCAGGATTATATATTATTACAAAACAAAGGACTTGGCAAAGGCATACATCATCAGATCATACAACAGAAAAGAAAGGCATAAAACAGTTTCACAAAGAGAATCTTTAAAGATGCTTTGGCATGAGTACAAGGACTTTTGCTTCCTTACATTTGTAAAGTTACCCCTTCTTTTTTCTTGTTATTAGAGAGACCATTGTTCTTAAGTTAGCCCATCTTTATCAGCTTGTACCAGGTGGCTGGCTGGGCTCAGCTAAGTGACCTTGTGTGTCTGGGTGAGAAAGAAGAAGGCTACTATCTTCCTGGAAAAACTTTCTGAGACTCATTTTGTACCATTAATCTCAACTCCTTTCCCTTCCCGACTCTCAGGGTCAGATGCTGTAATTAGCCTAGGTTTTCTGGCCATAAGGAAGGTTGCATAGGCCTCCTGTTAAGTTGTACATAAATGCCTAATGCTGTTTTCCTGTAGAAGGCTTCTAAGGTTTTTTCTGCTAAAATTAACTCTTTTTATTCCACATCATCAAGGAATTGTCCTAATGATGATTCTGGCAATTCCCAGAACTGGCTACTTTTTTAAGGCTTTAATTAATAGTGGAGCAGAATTCAAAAATGTTCTCAGCAGTCTTGTTTATATCCACAACTGCCTGGAATAGTCTGATCTGTTAGCAATATGTAAGGATCACAAAGAACACACAGACAAGGAAAAGACACACATATGGCTCCAAGAACAGCCAGGTCGAGTCAGTACTAATGGCGATTCAGGTAGCATTACACCACAACTGGTTGCCAAGGGACCACCTGGAACACACAGCTCCTAGAAACACAAATCCCAATCCTGCTGGCAATATTTGCCCATCCAGTCAGCATTTCTGCTACACTGGCGAGACAGCCATGGATGTAGCATGTAAGTAATTTGAGAAGATGATGTTCTCTATTCCAGCAAAGTTTGTCCTCGGGGTTAGGGACATCAATAAGGGGATGATTATAATTGGTATAGGGTTTTGGGCTGAGGGGCAAATTTTCTAGGCTCAGGGATGTCTTTTAAAAAATAAAGAAAAAATTGGATGTGATAATAGATTAGTGTGAGCTTACTCACTTTAATAATAATAATAATAGAGTAAATATTTGTAAACCATTATATATAGACAATTACATTGGTATAGATTCTTGCATATTTATACAAACTTAATTATGTTGAATATGTTTCTATATTCATCCACCATATTTGTATATCTAGGCAAAGTTATTTTGTCATATCATATACATGCATGCTTCTACCTTTGTTTAAAACATTTTTGTACATTGATATAATTTTAGGGTATATTTATCATATTACAATGTACATTTCTGCATCTGATCAAGATACTTATACATTGTTTACAGTTTGAGGTCATTGTCCTCATTTGTTGCACAGCTGTTATTGTATAATATACTAATATGAAGTATTAGTCTTTAAGTTATATAAGTATTAAGAATTATAAATCAATAGCCATCTATGTTTGTTATACTTATAGTTAGACTAATCGGGTTCTTTAGATACATAGAGATTATATTCTGCAAAGATAGGTAATCTTCAATCATTTCAAAGAGCTCTAGAATATGGCATTTAAATAACTTAGGGTTCTGTTGAAGTGAGACATGATTGCTCCTGTCAGCACCAATCTATTCCTAAGGGATTGTTGAGAACAAAAGACACTCCACTTGTAGCCTGTTTTCTTCTTGGCAAAATGGCTTGTGGGCAAGAAACTGCCCGTGCCTCAACCACTGACAAGGTACATGGTATCTGGAAATGGATAAGCAAACTGTCAAATCTTGCCAAGACAGAGTAAAATAGTTTTAAAAAATTTACTGCCCATGAAAATGGCCTATGCTACTAGGAGACCTAGGAAGTGGTCTCCTGTGCCCATGTCTTGTAGACTACTTCCCACTTTCTCTTCTATCACGTTCAATATGGTCAGATTAATATTGAGGTCTTTAATCCATTTGAAATTGAGTTTTGTGCATGGTGATAGATATGGATCTACTTTCATTCTTCTACAGGTTGACATCCAGGTATGCCAGCACCATTTGT